TGTAAAGTACTTATTAAATTAGTAATATAAACAAGAGGCCCATGGGCCTTATAGGTCACCTGAGCATTATGCAACAACTTTCCATTGATTGAATTTGATTCATGTTTTAAGCCAGATGCCATGGCATTCACAATTTTGAAAGAGGCACGATTGATCATCATAACAATACATTTAGCAGTTGCTTAGTTTGTTAACTTAATACCCATATGCAGGGTAAAGGAACAAAAAATGCATTTCAACTAATCAGTAATATTCAGCAATAATCAGTAGTGCCCCTACCACACATGAACCCCTGACCCTTAGGCCTTGATATTTGATTAATACCAAGGAGCAGATTTCAAACCATTCATTCATTTTCAGTATATAAGTACAGCCCCCCCTTCTATGGTACCCCTGACCCTGGGGCCAAACAAATTCACAATTCTGGAAGATGTGGGCCCTTGTCCAGCATAACTATATAGGTAGTTCATCTGCTTAATACCCTGGAGCAGAGAAGAAAATTTTCAAAGATTTAATGTATTTTCACTATATAATCAATAGAGCCCCGCCCTAACACCAGAACCCCTGACCCTGGGGCCATAAAATTCACAATTTTGGTAGAGGCACTCTTGCTCATCATAACTATGCACTTAGTTAGTTTATTTAATACCCAGGAGCAGAGAAGAAGATTTTCAAAGAATTCATGTATTTTCACTATATAATCAATAGAGCCCCGCCCTAACACCAGAACCCCTGACCCTGGGGCCATAAAATTCACAATTTTGGTAGAGGCACTCTTGCTCATCATAACTATGCACTTAGTTAGTTTATTTAATACCCAGGAGCAGAGAAGATTTTCAATGAATTAATGCATTTTCACTATATAAATAAAAGAGCCCCGCCCTAACACTAGAACCTCTGACCCTGGGGCCATAAAATTCACAATTTTGGTAGAGGCACTCTTGCTCATCATAACTATGTACTTAGTTGGTTTATTTAATACCCAGGAGCAGAGAAGAAGATTTTCAAAGAATTCATATATTTTCACTATATATTCAATAGAGCCCCGCCCTAACACCAGAACCCCTGACCCTGGGGCCATAAAATTCACAATTTTGGTAGAGGCACTCTTGCTCATCATAACTATGCACTTATTAGTTTATTTAATACCCAGGAGCAGAGAAGAAGATTTTCAAAGAATTCATGTATTTTCACTATATAATCAATAGAGCCCCGCCCTAACACCAGAACCCCTGACCCTGGGGCCATAAAATTCACAATTTTGGTAGTGGCACTCTTGCTCATCATAACTATGTGCTTAGTTGGTTTATTTAATACCCAGGAGCAGAGAAGAAGATTTTCAAAGAAATAATGCATTTTCACTACCTACTTATTTAGCCCCGCCCTAGCACTAGAACCCCTGACCCCAGGGCCATGAATTTCACAATTTTGGTAGAGGACTCATTGCTAATTACAATCATGCAAACAGTTTGACTGCTTGATGTCCAGGAGTAAAGAAGAAGATTTTTAAAGATTGCATTAATTTTAGTGGTTTTGGCCCCACCCCTCAGGCCCCAGGGGGGCAGGGATCATGAAATTCACAATTTTTGTTCCCCTTCACCCATAGATGCTTTAGGCCAAATTTGGTTGAAATTGGTTCAGTGGTTGCAGAGAAGAAGCTGAAAATGTTCAAATGTTAACGCACGACGCACAACGCACAACGCACGACGCACGACGACGGACGAAAACAGATAGCAATAGGTCACCTGAGTTTACTCAGGTGACCTAAAAATACGAAAAAAAAAATTCATTGACAGAAATGTTTTAAGCTAAAAGTCCTGTTCCTCCTTAACATTTGGACAAAATAAACAGGAAAAACAACTTTCCAGAGGCTATCCATGTCCAACATGCCCTTCATTGATAAACATATTTTGTTTCTGCAGTGATGGTTTTCACTAAAAGCACAGAATTAATTAGGTGCATTGTCTGAAAATATATGCATTTTTAAAAAGATTTTTTCTCAATTTAAATATTTTTTCCAAATATTTTTTATCAAGTGATGCTTTCTATGTTAATTAATGGAAAATTTATAAACTGTAAAAGTTTTAACTTTATACCCCACATAGTTTTGGAGTTATTGTAAAAATAAATTTTTGGACATGTTGACTTTTGACGAAACCTTAATGTACACTCTTAACGCACTTTGAAAATTTTTTTCAAAGTGCGTTGATTTTGTCTCAATTTTAAAGCACTCTGAAAAAAATTTTCAAAGTGCGTTGCCACAACGTACTTTGAAATTTATTTTTTTTTTCAAAGTGCGTAATTTTTCAAAGTGCATGCGTTGTAACACTAGAGCCAAGTTGATGAGAAGTTGATTTCATAAAAAATTTAAATCACAATTCCTTTTCAACATCAATTAAAACGCGTTTTTTATTGACAATATAGAAAGCTGATTTTTAATAAATGGGAATTTTCACATCTAGTTAATTGCTGGGTGCAAATTACTTTGTTAAAAATCAAGTAAACTGTCTAATAGATTTTCTTCTTTTCAAAGCTGGAATTCTCCATCCAAAATATTTACATGTATATAGCCTTTGGAGATATGGTCTTTAGACAATCGATATATATTCTAATGAACTTTTATTTTGCTTTATATGTCAAACATTTTTTTCTCAATTGTTATTTAACTCCCACTTGAATGGGTCTATGTTGAATGCAATTGTTTGAAGCCAATGACTGTTAATTACTAGTAGAGCAAAAAGGAAAAACGAACATGTTTACAATTTATTAAATTTATTTTCTTTTTCAATTTTGCAACATAAAACAGTTTTTTCTTGTGGTTTTCTTCCCTAAACATTTTATTACCCATATGCATCATTGTATAATAATAGCAATTCTTTTAATCATGAGGATAATTTTATGTACATGAAACAATAGCTCTTTAATTTAAAAAGTGAAAAAAGAACAAAGATCTGACATGACTAAGTGAATATATGAAAAGCCAACTTAATTATGTATCATGTTGACTGTTTTGATCATGATTTAATAGTGTGCCCAAAAAAAATAATTTTTCAATATGTATTGAGATTTAAAGTATTTGAGCAAAATTTAAATCTAAGATTTTTAATACTACAAATAAGTCTTTAGTCAATCCACTTCATAATATAAATTGCTTAAGTAAAAACATTTAGAAATACAGCAAAACTGAATTGAAAATATTAAGTTATTTATTGCATGAATTAAATATATCATCATGCAATAACCACTCCAAACATGTATCAAAAAATTGTTTAATTATCTAAAAGTCAATTAATTCAATTTCAAAATTGTTTGGGGTAGTAAGAGGAACAAAATATTCTGCAAATTAATAACTACAATAAAATACATAAAGCATATAAGTAAACAAGAAATTAGTAACAAAAGTGTATGTAATAAAACAAAATCCCTCACATTCATTACCGGTATATAAAATTCTATCAATGTACAATCATGTATGCATACATGTATTATGGCATTTATCAACTGAAATAATTTTATGCATTACAATTCTTTTTCTTATCACAAAACTAATGCTTAAATAGGAAGAAGAAGATTCAGCAGAGACCCCAAGACATTAAAGTGAGAACGAACTTAAATCAAAATTTACATTTCCAATATCGAAATTTTAATTTAACTTCTTTTTTTGAAGTTGCCTAGGTGTATGACATTTTAAAAAAAAAATCATTCATTCCCTGATTTGTTTTTATTTCAAAAATTATCTAAATTGTGAAACTAATTTGAAAGGTTAATATTAGATTAGAGTTCCGTGGGTATTTCTGACATTTGATTGTACAATTTGATATCAACCTGACAAATTCTTTACAAATGAAGTCATACATCTATATACGTATATATACGTATATAACAACTTATTTAATTTTAAAAAATTGCACATATGTCTCTCATAAGGTACACAATAAACAAACAACTTATAAAAATATTTTGAGACAAAAAACAAGATTCTTCATCCCTCAAAATTGAGATATAAAATGTCTTTCTTGTTCTTAATACTTTTGACAACTAGTCAAATGCATCATTAAGATATATATGATTTTACTGTAGTTTTAAAAAATTATACAAATTTTATATGGTATAAAACTGAGAAATGTGTTATGATTGACTAAATATTGTCAAATCCATGTATTTGTAATAATTTTTTATACACAGTCTACTTGAAGAAATTTAAATGATTAACCAAGTAAACAATATACACTACTTTAAGAATAATTCAAATTTAAAAAAATCAAACAAGGAAAAAATACACTAATTTTATAATAAGTAATATTTATACATGTAATGCCATTTTGTATTAAAAGAACTGAACCAAAAAAATGGATATCTAAAAACATGTCTACAGTAGTCAAAAAAAATAGATATAAAAAAAAATATTTTTTCATTTCAAAGGAATTAAGAAATATACCCATCTGATCAAGAAAAAAGCTAAGATATTCAGTTAAATGTAAAATCGATGGAGGGGAGGGGGGGGTCATTAAATAGAGTAATCCCCCTTCCCTCGTTGAGTTCATTAACAATTACATGTATATTATAAGTACTGTTTTTTTTTAATACATCCTTTAATCAACAATACTTTATTCAACAACAAAAACAATAAAGTTTAACATTAGATTTGAGGATTAGCTCTTCAAATGGCATAAAAATATAAATATACATTGTATATTTGATAGAAGTATTACAATTTGAATCAATTGACAACATTAATAACATATTTTTCAAATAGTTCACAAATCTGCTCATAACATTTTGTTGTTACAGGAAAGAAGAAAAAAATATGAGTTAAATACTGAGTATTATATATCAAAAAAGTTATGTATGGTAAATATATTCATTTAATATTTTTCTAATATATTAGAAAATCAATCAATTTCAGAGTCTATTAATATTTGAGCATTAAAAGGAAATTGTTCAAAATTTCAGACCTTATGTGTCTTTGTGTCAAGTATGAAGGAATAAAAATACTTGAGCAGAAATATACTACAGGTTATAACTAAATAAAGTACACAAATCAATAAATGGAGGGAAAGAAATAAAAATTAAATACATGTCTACATACTTAAAAATAATCATGACAATTAAATCTACATGTAAATGTTCCATTTTTTAACTTTTTTTTATTAAAACAATACAAAAAATGACTCTTTCCAAAAACATATCACAAATGGGCAGATCTTGAAAACAAACCTTTGCCCTCCTTTCTAGTTGCCGGGGTAGGGTGGGGGTTGCTGGGGGTTTGCTGGGTAAGGGGGGTAATCATCATCCGCCGGAGGTGCTACAAAAAATTTAATTATACAATAGAGCTGTGTTTTTAAATGAACATAATCTACTACATTAATTTGACATTGGCCTACAATAGATCTTCTTCGGTGGTATTCTGCTTATGAAAGCCTCCTTTCATATATACATAGTACAGTAAATATTTACATACAATTTGCATACGATGTTTACTTTACACCAGAGAATTTTAACACTCAGGTATCTTTGTTTATGTCAGTCATTTTAGTTTCTTCTACATGTACATACAGAAAAAAAAGTTGCACTAAATTTATATGTACTTTTCACATTAGTATCTGTATGTACAAACCTGTGGGTAAGGCTTTATTTTCCTGTGGGGGATAGCCCGACCCCGTCATGGGGGGTGCTTGCTGGACAGGTGGGTATCCCATCTGGGGTGGGGGTGGGTACTGTACATAGCCCTGAGGGGGGTACTGATTCTGGACCGGGGGGTACTGATTGTAGGGCTGAGGTGGAGGATACTGCCCGAGGTAGGACTGCTGAGCAGTGGTGGTGACAGTCATCTGATTTCCTGGTTGTCTGTATACATGACCAGCTGATCGTCGTCCTAAATAAAATCATCATCAGACTGAGTACATTTGTTAAGGTAAAAAAATACAGGAGAAAAAGAAATATATATAATTTCAAAAAATGTTGTTTATGTCTATATTTGGTCATCTGTCATAAACAAGAGGCCCAAGGGCCTTAAAGCCTACCTCAGTATCATGAAACAACTTTCCAACAATTGAATTTAGTTCATGTTTTAAACCAAAGGTCATATAATTCAAAATTTTGAAAGAGACACTATTGCTCATCATAAATACATAGCAATCACACTTAGCAATTGCCTAGTTTGATTACTTAATACCCAGAGGCAGAGTAGGGGAACAAAAGTTTAATACTAACCTAGCCAGAAAGCTTTTTTAAAATCATATGATTAAAAGAAATTGTCACTGACCTTTCATACAGCAACAGCAAATAACAATAATGGCAATGACAATCACCAGAAATATCAGTCCCGTTATAATCCCAATAATAGAAGCAATGGAGATGGTCGCATTCCTTACTGAATTGAAGCTGGACTCAGACTCAGAGTTTGACCACTCAAAATCTGAAAGAAAAGATATGTAAGTATCAAACAATGAAGCAGACTCCTAGAAAACAATAACAACAAGAGGCCCATGGGCCTTATAGGTCACCTGAGCATTATTCAACAACTTTCCAGTGATTTAATTTGATTCATGTTTTAAGCCAGATGCTATGGCGTTCACAATTTTGAAAGAGGCACCATTGATCATCATAACAATACACTTAGCAGTTGCTTAGTTTGTTTACTTCATACCCATAGGCAGGGTGGGGGAACAAAAAATGCATTTCAAGTAATCAGTAATATTTAGCAATAATCAGTAATGCCCATATCACACATGAACCCCTGACCCTTAGGCCTTGATCCACACATTGCACAATTTTTGAAAAGGCACCCTTGCTTTCCAAAAATATTTGATTAATACCAAGGAGCAGATCTCAAACAATTTATCCAGTTTCAGTATATAAGTACACCCCCTTATGGTACCCCTGACCCTGGGGTCTTGAAATTCACAATTCTGGAAGATTAGGGTCCTTGCTCATCATAACTACAAAGGTAGTTCATCTGCTTAATATCCAAGAGCAGAGAAGAAAATTTTTAAGGCTTTAATGTATTTTCACTATATAATCAATAGAGCCCCGCCCTATCACTAGAACCCCTGACCCTAGGGCCATAAAATTCACAATTTTGGTAGAGGCACTCTTGCACATTATAACTATGCACTTAGTTAGTTTATTTAATACCCAGGAGCAGAGAAGAAGATTTTCAAAGAATTCATGTATTTTCACTATATAATCTATAAAGCCCCACCCTAACACCAGAACCCCTGACCCTGGGGCCATAAAATTCATAATTTTGGTAGAGGTACTCTTGCTCATCATAACTATGCACTTAGTTAGTTTATTTAATACCCAGGAGCAGAGAAGAAGATTTTCAAAGAATTCATGTATTTTCACTGTATAATCTATAGAGCCCCACCCTAACACCAGAACCCCTGACCCTGGGGCCATAAAATTCACAATTTTGGTAGATGTACTCTTGCTCATCATAACTATGCACTTAGTTAGTTTATTTAATACCCAGGAGCAGAGAAGAAGATTTTCAAAGAATTCATGTATTTTCACTGTATAATCTATAGAGCCCCACCCTAACACCAGAACCCCTGACCCTGCAGCCATAAAATTCACAATTTTGGTAGAAGCAATCTTGCTCATCTAAACTATGCACTTAGTTAGTTTATTTAATACCCAGGAGCAGAGAAGAAGATTTTCAAAGAAATAATGCATTTTCACTATATACTTATTTAGCCCCGCCCTAGCAATAGAACCCCTGATCCCAGGGCCATGAATTTCATAATTTTGGTAGAGGACTCAATGCTGATTACAATCATGCAAACAGTTTGACTGCTTGATGTCCAGCAGTAAAGAAGATGATTTTTAAAGATTGCATTAATTTTAGTGGTTTTTGCCCCACCCCCCAGGGGGGCAGGGACCATGAAATTCAAAATTTTTGTTCCCCTTCACCCATAAATGCTTTGTGCCAAATTTGGTTGAAATTGGTTCAGTGGTTGCAGAGAAGAAGCTGAAAATGTTCAAATGTTAACGGACGACGCACAACGACAGACAAAAACAGATAGCAATAGGTCACCTGAGTTTACTCAGGTGACCTAAAAATACATGCCAAAAGAGCATTTTCTCATCAGTAACTTAATTGCTTAAAGTTAAAAATTATTTCATGTACATTGTGCAGTGACATTTATCTCAGTGAATAAATCAAATAATTTGATGTATTTATAAATTTAAATGATAAAAACAATTTTTGATTTACAAAATGATGCATTCTGAAACAATTAATGGTGAAAAAAATTTCTTATTTTATTATACTTTCATGTTAAATACTAAAATCTGATTGGTTTAGACGCAGTTAACAATCCGTTCTATTACCCTCAGCCTTAGCAACGCAAGTGACAACGGGTAACACAACGGTAATGCCACATGCGTAGATATTATGCACGTACAGTTCACCATAGAATTCTCAAAACGTCAGTTGCGCGTTTGAAAGAACTGGAATAAACTTGACGTCAATAAAAGCTTGCGTCCGATGTAGCTTACTTGAAAACAACAAACGACAGACGAAACATGCTTGCGAGTGCAGAAATAACGAAACTTTATATGATAAAAAAGACTCTTAGAGTATCAAACAAACAATAAAAAGGACAGTAAATCTTTTTAGAAGTAGCGAGGAGTTTGAAAGCTTTCTAAACGTGAACGTAAAGATGATCGACAATTTTTTTTTTTTTTTGCTGACTTAATTTAAGAAGACATCCAGTATAATAAAATAAATGGTGCCTGTTTTGGAGGGTAACAGTTGAAATTGACACCCCACGGAAAACCATTGTCAACGCTGACGCGTCGGTTGACAATGGTTTTCCTTGGGGTGTCAATTTCAACTGTTACCCTCCAAAACAGGCACCATTTATATAATATCATCCTGCTAAATCAACAAAAAGTTTCTCAATTTAGCCCTTACCATCCGAGTCACAGAACACATGGGCAAACCAACATGTCATCAAGACCATACACACTTGAAATAACTGGATCCTCCACATTGTGGCTGTTATCTATCTAATGGACCAAAAAATACAGTGATAGACAATGACACAAATGGAATAAATTAAGTATTATTTCCTATGTAGCTTGTAACACGAGCTTTATCTGTGCACCCGACTTGAGCCGGGTGTAAATAAAACGTGACGTCACAATGCATACATTCTCTATGATAAAAACCAAATAACATGATGTCACGATGTATTGTAGTACGTAGTTTTCTAATCGACAGCTTGAGACACACTCTGAAGTTTACAAAGCATTTTTATGGGTACAAAGGAAATAAATTTGTTATCCAGGTCCAATCAAGGGTGTACGGGGATTTACCCCAGGTTGTATTCAATATTGTATGGAATAGTTCAGTTCAGTTCTTCATTCCGTGGGACGTACATCCCATAAGCATCATAAGTACAACATTGTATTTATCAATTACATACATAGTACAATAACATGTTATAAACTTACCAACTAGTGATACATACATTTTATTATATAGCTAATTGATTTAAACATTCCATTCGTAATTTATTAGCATGATATATAAATTTCCCTAACTGAATTACATTTTTGGTATTTGTACTACAGAATAATTGTATTAACTTGAAGACACTTAGAATAAAACCCGGGGTAAATCCCAGTACACACTTGATTGGACCTGGATAACTAATATTATCAACATGATCAAAAAAATACACGTAATAAGAGCACATTCAAATTACAATATAATCATTTTAAATGAAAATTATTTGAAAAGGAAAAGATAAATTTTATGAATTTAAGCATTTTCCCCTTACTTTTATTTGCAGCATTGCCATGCTAATGAACAACAATCATTTTCACTGTCCTTCAGATTACAGAGCATGTGATTGTCAAATGCAAGGAAACAGTTTATGATGTCTCCCTCATCTGTAGGGTGACAACTGCTTCAAATGACAATAAAACCACACACACAAATTCAACTGTGTTAACACTAATATAATAAAGGTTTTATTTTTTTGCTACATCATATTTCCATACATGAGTTTTTAAAACAAAAATTACATAATTTTTTTATTTAAGCATACTTTTTCCCTAATAAAATACTTCCTTGTAAGAAATGACAATGGAAAATCCTGTGCCCAGAAGGCTTTGAGAATATTAATTTTTGGGAAAATTCTATCAATTAGCCAAATAGGGCATAACAAAATTTAATCAAGAAAAAATGATAAACTGAAAATTATGTTTTAGAAATTGTTGAAAAGGTTTACATATTTTGGGATTATATATCATGTATATCGTTATACAATGTTATTAAATATACACACAGTAGGGCTGTCACGGGTACCCGAAATGACCCAGAACCACGGAAAAATTAATTCGGGTCGGGTACGGTTCCGTTTTTCCGGAATTCGGTTCGGTTCCGATTTGTATAATAGAGTAGATTTTACAATAAAAATGGCGTAAAAAACGAGAGACTGGTTAGTACATTGTCGTTATAAGGTGATTTAAATAATTTGGTACAATTGTTGTCTAGTCAGGAGGCTACTTTAAACTGGTTATAATGTTGCAATTTCTAAGATTAAATGAAAATATTCTTTTTATTGTTGAAAATAATGCAAATCATGAGCTTTTTTCCATTACCTACACGACCCGAGAAACCCGAAACCGAACCTAAAACAAGAGGCCCAGGGGCCACAGCGCTCACCTGAGCACATCGGGCTTGAATTTACTCTCCCCCTCCAGGCATTCATCATTTGAACAAACTAGAATCTACACTACCTGAGGATGATTCCATATAAATATCACTAATCATAGCTTTGAAGTACTTGAAAAGAAGATTTTAAAAGGTTTCCCTATATATCCCTATGTAAATCTTGGGTCAGCCATTTTGGCCCCACCCTAACCATGGGGGTCATGATTTGAACAAACTTGAATCTACACTACCTGAGGATGATTGCACACAAGTTTCATCTTTCCTGGCCCAGTGGTACTGGAGAAGATTTTTAAAAATTTTTCCTATATATTCCTATGTAAAACTTGGGTCGGCCATTTTGGCCCCATCCTTGCCCCGGGGGTCATGATTTGAACAAACTTAAATCTACACCAACTGAGGATGATTCCACATGAGTTTCATCTTTCCTGGCCCAGTGGTTCTGGAGAAGAAGATTTTTAAAGATTTTTCCTATATATTCCTATGTAAAACTTGGGTCGGCCATTTTGGCCCCACCCTTGCCCCGGGGGTCATGATTTGAACAAACTTAAATCTACACTACCTGAGGATGATTCCACATGAGTTTCATCTTTCCTGGCCCAGTGGTTCTGGAGAAGAAGATTTTTAAAGATTTTTTCCTATATATTCCTATGTAAAACTTGGGTCGGCCATTTTGGCCCCACCCTTGCCCCGGGGGTCATGATTTGAACAAACTTAAATCTACACTACCTGAGGATGATTCCACATGAGTTTCATCTTTCCTGGCCCAGTGGTTCTGGAGAAGAAGATTTTTAAAGATTTTTTCCTATATATTCCTATGTAAAACTTGGGTCGGCCATTTTGGCCCCACCCTTGCCCCGGGGGTCATGATTTGAACAAACTTGAATCTACACTACCTGAGGATGCTTCCACATGAGTTTCATCTTTCCTGGCCCAGTGGTTCTGGAGAAGAAGATTTTTAAAGATTTTTCCTATATATTCCTATGTAAAACTTGGGTCGGCCATTTTGGCCCCACCCTTGCCCCGGGGGTCATGATTTGAACAAACTTAAATCTACACTACCTGAGGATGCTTCCACATGAGTTTCATCTTTCCTGGCCCATCGGTTCTGGAGAAGAAGATTTTTTAACAAATTTATGATTATCTCCCCTTGGAAAAGGGCGTGGCCCTTCATTTGAACAAACTTGAATCCCCTTCATCCAAGGATACTTTGTGCCAAGTTTGGTTGAAATCGGCCCAGTGGTTCTTGAGAATAAGATGAAAATGTGAAAAGTTTACGACAACAACGACAACGACAACGACAACGACGACAACGACAGACGACGGACAAATTTTGATCAGAAAAGCTCACTTGAGCCTTCGGCTCAGGTGAGCTAAAAATCAAAACCGACCCGACCCGAAAAATTTTGGAACCGTGACAGCCCTAATATATATAGTAATCGTGAAAACTTAACTGACGAAAGGTAGAACTGTAGAAAAGAACTAGTTGGGTGTACATACGTACGTCACTTATTGACTTAATCATCTGATCATCATGAAACTTCAGTATCAATTTTTTTATCGATGGTTTTGTTAATTAAGCATCAGAGAGTTGGGAAAACCATAAATGTGAAAAGCTGAAAACTTTTTCAAGGGATTGGCCCGCTGTGGAGACAGGAAACAAATAACCCTCCATACGTCAACACAATGTTAAACCATTCAAAAAATAAGATAAAAGATTGCTGTATATGTTTACCTAGAAACTGATTTTAGTTCAGCAAAATGAAAAAGAGATCTGTATTCTCTGGTCACCCCAAAATGTTGAAAATTCCTTTGTCAGTTCTCTCTTCACATCTTGTTTTGGAAATTTTTATTTTTTCGTACTTCGAGCCCGTGCCTTTTTTGGAATAATTCGCATGCGCGGATCTAGCGGCAGGGATGTTCAGGGCTTCGCTTTTCACAAGTATTTTAAAATATTAACTTGCATTAGGAAACATAGACCCCTTGTAAATTTTTATGAGTAGTACAAATGTCTATCATTTTTTCTACATATGATAATTTTTTAGGTATATAATACATATGGCAAGCCAATTTTATAAAAACAAAAATAGCTAAATATAGTTTCACAGTTGATAATCTAGGTTTATCGACTGTAAACTATGGTTTCCGAACCCATAACTATATATAGTTAATGTTTCGTTATCTATAGTGTTCATATGTAAAACTGTCTGTCTAATCAAACGTTAACGATCGATTTTGCAGTTGATAAACACAGATTCACAATGACATCTATAAACTATATATAATTTACATTCCTGAACTACACTTAAGAGTTGTTAATTATAGATTCAAAAATCGTGAAACTATATTTATCAGATAACTATTCTTTTTTAACATTCGATAATTAAAGATTTTGGTTGTAAACTATAGTTAACTATCATTTATACTGATAACTATGGCACGCCTGTGGCAACGCACTTTGAAAAAATTACGCACTTTGAAAAAATTTTCAAAGTGCGTTAAAATTGGGACAAAATCAACGCACTTTGAAATTTTTTTTCAAAGTGCGTTATAATTGGGACCAACTCAACGCACTTTGAAAAATTTTTTCAAAGTGCGTTAAGAGTCTACATCAATATATTTTACCATGGAGACACTTAACGCACTTTGAAAAAAAAATTAAATCATATTTTAGTAATGGAAAGATTTTATTTGTTATTTATCTTCCAAAAAGCTTATGAATTGATTAGCTCACGTCGAAAAAAGGAGAAGACGGGTATAAGATCCCTCAGTCCAAATCTTTATCTTTTGAATACATAGGTGTCGGTAACAAACGGGGGGGGGGCAATAAACCCCAAAAGGGTAAGCTGCATTTTCAATGCTTATACGCTATATATATATATATATATCTTTCCAGAATAAGTGGGGGGCTAAACCCCTCCTCCCCTGGCCCATTGCCCGGTCTCGATGTCTATGCTATACTCAAAACATTTATATAATTATGTATTTACCTAACTGGTATGACGTTGAAAACTTTCAATATTAAATGAGTTAATTAAAACAGATGAAAACTAGAAATATTGAGGTACAGTAAAACGTATGAGAGAGAAAGAATTTTCATAGTTTTGAACAATCAAATTGCCCCCTTTTTATTATGATAAATGCTAAGTTGCTTTAAGCTGTCCACTGTTAGTGCCCCCTTTACACCTTTACATATATTATCAAAGACTAGAATTCAAAGAAAAGAAAGAAACGAATTAATGATCTTAAACAATCGTCACTCTTTTTTTCAAGGCCCTTTTCCCTTTTATTTTATCAAAATCTCAAATATTTAAAACTTCTCAGGTCCTGAAGTGACTTCATCATAAAAAAGTTATCCATCCAGGATCTGTTATTTATCAACCGATTATTTGTAAGAATATTGATCAATCTACATTTTTTTCAAAGTGCGTCAATATGGTCGATATCAACGCACTTTGAAAAAAAAATATTTTTTTTCAAAGTGCGTTATAGCTTGGTCCCAAATTTAACGCACTTTGAAAAATTTTTTCAAACTATAGTTAACAACGTTAATCTATATTTTACATATGTAAATCATAGTTAACGCGATAATCTATGTTTCACAACCGTAAACTATACTTAACACCAAAAACAATCATTTTGTATGGCACGCCAAATTCACAAAATTGAGATAATCATAGTTTCACAATCGATAAACTAGGTTTATCGGTTGTAAACTATAGTTTACAAACCGTAAACTATAGTTAACAACGTTAATCTATATTTCACATCTGTAAACCATAGTTAACGCGATAATCTATGTTTCACAACCGTAAACTATACTTAACACCGAAAACAATCATTTGCGATTGCAAAACATAGATTATCTGATAAATACAGTTTCACGATTTGTAAACTATGATTAACAACTCTTAACTATAGTTTACGATTGTAAACTATAGTTTACGAACGTGAATCTATGTTTATCAACAAAATCTATTGTTAACGCTTTATTACAGACAGATAAACTTAAATTAACATTCGTAAACTATAGTTAACAACCGTTAAATATAGTTTTACAGATGAAAACTATACTTAACGAATCGTTAACTATAGTTTACGGTTTGTAAACTATAGTTTACAGTCGATAAACCTAGTTTATCAATTGTGAAACTATGATTATCTCATTTTTGTGAATTTGGCGTGCCATACATTTGCGATCGCAAAACATAGATTATCTGATGAATACAGTTTCACGATTTGTAAACTATCGTTTACAACTCTTAACTATAGTTAACGATCGTAAACTATGGTTTACAGACGTGAATCTATGTTTATCAACAAAATCTATTGTTAACGTTTTATCACAGACAGATAAACTAAGATTAGCATTCGTAAATTATAGTTAACAAGCGTTAAAGATAGTTTTACAGATGAAAACTATACTTAACGAATCCTAGCTTATCAATTGTGAAACTAGGTTTAGCTCATTTTTGTAAATTTGGCGTGCCATAGATAACCGATATTTTAAAACTATACTTATCGATCGTAAACTATAGTTCCGAGAGATAAACTATGATTCACATTTGTCAATCATAGTTTATTATCGTTAACTATAATTCACACTCGTAAACTATAGTTACGAGCTTGTCAAATTTATATAGTTTATGAATCTAAACACTGTTAACTTCAAAATTTCGCAGCACGAATCCCGAGAAGCAAGAATGTATGTGTTACATCGCCGTAAATTCGAGACATATATATATATATATTAAAAAAAAACAAACACAAAAAACCAAGTTCTGCTCCATATGAACACTTCATTGTAATTTCTCTTCTTTGTGATATTATATTTACCAGCCAAGCTTTCAGCAACTCTTTTGTACCAGCAATGCTTAGTCCTGTTGTTAGATCAGTGCAAACGCTTGGGAAAGCATCTTCCCAAGTCAAGAGAGTTTCTGATCCGCTCCGCTCCACATATAGTTTGACTTGGGAAGATGTTGGGAAAGTATCGGTAATATTTTTTCCGTGCCGTTGCTTTAGATAAATTTGATTACAGATCGTCATGCATTTCACTAATTTTTCTGCCATTTTTCTTTTTATTTGCGACTAGAATTGCTTTTTAAAAAATGGAACGTTTACTTTTAATGTCAATTCAGAAATATACATGCATATATATATTTAGCAACCACTGATTATAGTCGCTGAATAGCATAATCTTGTAATGCTGTAACTAAGATTAACCCATCTATATAATTTACGAAAAGAAAACTATCGTTAACTATAATTTTGATCGTAAACAACATATTGTTTAAAGTCGTGTATCTAGTTTCACAGAAAATTGCGCATCTCCAATACAAAATTAGAGATTCTGTTCCTAAACTGTGTTTCTCAAATTTAAAACTATGTTTATCTCATTTTTGTGAATTCGGCGATTTAAATATCTGTAAACTATATTTTACAAATTCTAAATTATAATTTACATTTGTTAAGTATAGTTTAGAGATGTAAACCATAGTTTACAAACCGTGAAACTATATTTATCAGATAAACTATATTTTGCAGTTGCAAATGATTGTTTTCTGAGTGTTAATTTTAGTTAACGCTTGTAAAACATAGATTATCGCATAATCTTAATTTAGTTTACAATCATTAAACCTAGTTTATCAACTGTGAAACTATGATTAGCTCTTTTTTGTGAATTTGGCCTGCCATAAATACATTTGTAGTAAAAAAGTATTATTCACGAAGTATTATCACAGTTCAACCTTGATTCAGTAGTCATCACGCCCCTATACAATTCTTGTTCTAAAAAAATATAACAGTAAAAAGTGCCTGTGATGAAGAGTCATCAAGAAAGCGGCATGGCCATGAGAAGTGAACCCTACAGGATTTTTTTTTTTTTTTTCAAATCTTCTAGGCCCCTATATAAAATTGTTTTTCCTAATGATTCAAGGCTTTTGTATTTTCATACTTTTTAACTGCATGAAGTGACATAGGCGATGGAAGCAAATTGAAAGTGTGTGTTTTGGGGGGGGGGGGGTAAACCAAACAAAAACAAAACAAGGGGTGTGTTAAACCCCAATATTCTATGACTGTGCATGTATATATTATCCCTATCTTTGCAAACAAAAAAGAGGATATGTCCCCCTGATCCCCCCGTCTTAGCCCGCCTTCGGTTCCTACGCCTATCACTGAATATATAAATCAAGTACCCCCTTACTCATATATTAGTCATAAAAGGGGGGGGTATGAGATTTTTTAAATTGTACTTGAATATCACATCTTCTATTTTTGTATACTATAATGTGTCCTGTGTTTGTCAAATATAGTGACTCACTGTCTTTTTTGAGCTATGACCATACTTAGATTCATCAGATACACAGTGAATAACAAGGGAAGTGATACAAGTACATTATTATGACAAGTTAGCCAATATAAGTGAAGGTATAAAACAATAATACTATAATTGATAAGGGAGGAAAAGGTTATAAGACATAATGGTCAGGAAAATGAATACTTTGGGTAAGGATATATTCACATTCCTTGCTACAGTAGTGACGACGTTTCACTGAACTATGAACATACATCGTTAAAAAAAATTAAAAATTTTGATTTTTTTAACTTTAATATTTTATATGAATATTGAACATTATTAATTTGTGGCAGGTGAAGATTACTGTAATGTATATATAACGCGATAACGCTTAAAAGTCATGATTTATACTGAGTATTTTGAGGGACGTACATGTAGCATTATTTTTGAAAGGGACAGCTAGAGAAAAAAAATTGACCTACTTAAAAACTTGACAAGCAAAGAAAAAAAGTAAGAAAAATTCTCTTAGGTCGAAAATCCTATTTCGTGCGGTGGGGTAGGTTCCAACTTCTTTCATGATCAGTACCAAAATTTACTCATACACCACTACATTTCCCATATTTGGTTATATATCCCACAACAAAAGGGGGGTATAACTTACTATGTACACTTTCATTAGTAAAAAGTTGCGTCTGGAAAAAGGGGGATTGAGAGCCCCCCTCCTCCTTTCTTTGATGCTATACGTGTCTGATTATATATAAAGGGGCATGCGTTAGGCCTGTCCAGTGGTTTGAATTGTGTTCAACTGACAAATACCCAAATAAAATGGCAATGGTCTGTATTGCACAGGAAATTATTTTTAAGAGAACAATTTTCATTTATTGATCGTTCTTCATCTAATGATATTGAATATTCACTTTGTTCAGCATCTTGAAATAAGAAAAAGTAATTTCCTGAAAATTTTAAATTGTACATAATACTCTATAATGAGTATATCGATTTTACAGGTTTGCTTTTACTTTTCGCCCTTTGTGAATCGATACTTCCCTTTTCCATACCTCCAAAACTGGAACAGTTCTCACTTCAGTAAGTATAAAATTATACCTCCTCCCCCTCTATTTCTATTATTTAATTAAAAAAAGAAAAATAATTAAATTTCTTTTTATATTTACTATTAAAAATGTTGCATTTTCCTTAAAATCAAATATGCATGAACAATATGAATCAAAAGTAGAATACTGTATAAAATCAATTATTTTTGTGGGGGTTTAATTTTGGACGTTTCCCAATTTCCAGTTATGGAGAGACCCACGAATTTATGATCAAAACGAAATGTAAAATTTAATAATTCATATGCATTACTACTTAACATTTTCCAGCCAAGAAATCAAATCCCCACAAAGAACAATCCCCCCCCCCCAAACCTCGAAAATCTGACTCCACGAAAATATGTAATTTTACAGTAATATACCCCTCTCTCTCTTTCTCTCTCTCTCATTTACTTGTGCTTTTCATGCATCGCTTTAAGAATAATATTTATTATTATGAAACTTCCAATGTTACAGGGTACAATGTACAGGGATAGGTGGAATACGTGGGTTTACTGCGAGGGCTGTGAAGACTTATTTTTCAGTTGCTGGTGAAGAGCCACTAGAGTTTACCCAAGCTTGCACAGGTATATAAATTCATTATGGCAAAGAATATTTAAACAATGTGTAACTAATATTAATATTTTGACTGTGGTTTTACTACATAACGATTTTGTTTTTGACAGAATCCGAACCAGATGAAAAGGAATGTCTGTTCGAAAGATTTGTTCTCTCAATGGCTAGAGAAGTTTGTCAAAAAGACGAAACTACAATTTTGGAAAGATTGAACGTTAATCGCACATTTATAGGTATGAGGCAGCTGCAGCATTGTTTTCTTTTTTTCCAGCTGTCAACATTCCTTATTGCATATTTCAGTTTTCTTGAACACATTTGGTGATACCAATAAAAGGAAAGAGAGAATTCTTTGAAAGTTGAAGCATTAACTTATTTATTTAAGGAAATGTCAAAACAAACTAGATTGATTTACACTATTAAGAATAATTTTATTGTAAAATCAATATAGATATTTGTGAGAGCAAATTTTCGAGGCTTATGGTCTAGGAATGTTTAATATTTGTTCCTGACACGAAAATCTTTATCACTACCTAGTTCAAAGAGAAACACTGAGCCATGGTACTACTGTATTTTGAAATTTCAATGCTGGTATTTCGTAAAGAACAAAAATTCGTGGACCCTTTTATGCTACCAAACACAGCGCGATTTAAAACCTCTGAAAATTATAATTTACTAAATGAAAAAGAAATCAATTTATATTTTATACAATAATGCAATACTTATACAGAATACGTTAAAAATGACTTTTTTGTTGTTCCTCATATATATATAGATGAGCCATTTTCTCGACATCTTATAAATTCCACTTCATCCGTTCCTGTTGAAAAAGGTAGGTTCTGAATGAATGATAAGACAAAAAAAAAACAACAAAACACTATACAATAGTATTTATTATAAAAAGCTACCTGAAAAATTGTCAACATAGAATCCAGTACATGTAAATTGTTTTCTTTTTTTCAGAAAATCAACAGGAAAGTCTTATTAATTCTTTGAAACTAGGAATTGCTCTGGGAACCATATTTGGATTTTTATTTGGTGTCATTGCGTCTTGCGGTATATTTGGGATATTCCGTAAATTTCAAAGAAATATTCAAGAAAGGTATCCAGAAACATTTGTTATTTTCACTTCTACTGTAAAAGTTTCACATTAAGTATGCTAACATTATTATCATTTATGTGTGTCGGTGAGCCAATATAAGCGAGGCAGATGAATATAACACATTGACAGCACAGGTGCTTGACGTTTTTAACCTTTCTTTTCATAAATAATAAAAAAAAAAAGTCCTCATATCATTACATAAATGTATGCAGATTTTTTTTATTTATCAAAAGAACGGTTAAAAACGTCATTACCTTTTTTTCTGAATTCCGTCACCATGACGCTGTACATATACTGATGTGATATAATTGGCATTTTTTAGAAATCCGCCAAACACAGCACCCAAGGCGACAATATTAGGAGATAAAGACATTAAAACAGGACAACAAAATGATCATTCAAGTAATTACATGTACTGTGATATCGAAGACGCCAAAGTAAGTAATCATTGCTACAAGATTTATTTGTACATTTTGTATAGTACATCGAGATTCCTAAAAGTATGTTTAGGTGGATTCAGGAAAAGTATTCCAATGTTTTAAAGACCGACAGTTAATCGAGTTTGTCAGACACTTCATAACTGCATGCATTTCAAACATATGTATTTTCGAATTCGTTTATGGAAACGCAGAAACCCGCTACCATTATAAAGATAAAACAAATTAAGCTTTTGCCATTGGTGCCGTTTTACTTGAAGAAAATTTTAGTAGCATTATTTTTTTTGGGGGGGGGGGGAAGTTTGCCTAAGAAAATATGTTTTTCTTTTATTGCTTTAGTCAAAAATGAACTCTCTGTTTTCAGTATTATATACCCAAAGAGATGACTTGTACAGGAAGCAGCGAATCAGGTGCTTCATATAGCCATGACTGTCCTCCATTTACATACAACCATCTGAACGAAAAGAATGAGGGTGAAGTTAGTGCGAAATATGATCATTTCCGGGAGGTTTCCTCAGGTGCCCGGATGACAAATGGTGACTACAAAATATTAGAGCCATTGCATTCTCAGGATCAAATGAACTTGAACAAAATACCTGGAAAGTCGCCAACAAATAAGGAAGGAGCTATGAATGACCAGGATACTAGCACTGATGCGTATTTTGTTTTAGAAAAAGAAATCAACTAATAAACTAGTTACCAAATTGCAATTAATCATTTTCATGTAAATTTGTATAAATTGTGTAACTTATAATTGAATGGCAGAAAATTAATCTATACCAAAATAATAATTAAAAAAACATTCCCCAACTCGGGATTATCGCTTATCACATCTCATTTTTATAGGTTTATTATATTGTAAAAAATTCTGTTCGGGTCATTTTTCAATGCGAGTGGAGTCGTAGAATTACCGGTCTGGGAGGATTTCTACGATCGGAACAAAAAAATTCAGACTACTTCGACCCCGGGTAATCCAATTAATGCGAGAGATACCATTAATTGTCGAAATTTTGTTGAAGATGAACGTCATTTTGTATTTATTTGTATGCCCTCTTTATGAAAAATTACGAATTTAAGTTTATTTTGTACATTTTTAAACAAATGTATGTATATATCTTATGAAATTCTTAAACCAGCCGATGTTAAATCAGCGAGAAATATTTATAACTTCATGCGTGATGCATTTAACTATACATGCATATTTGTTTACTGTGTGTGTATAACTTGCACTTCTTTTTTTTTTTTTTTGGTCTAATTAAATAAATAATTTTAAAAGCTCACTGCTGGCAAAAAAAGTTGAAGTTTAATGAAAGTAACAATTTTGTATATTCTTTAATTAATCTATTTATAATGACCTTTAAAAAAATTGTTGTAGTATTTCTTTTAGATCAATCACTGTACCTTTTCCATAAATTATACTAGTACACGTGTAGATTAGTGCCGTAGTTCACCCTCTGTATTTATATGTACTGGTCTAATGGTTTTTCAATAGCAAAAAATAAACTTAGCAATTTTTCCTACATATGTGACGGAGGTGTCATTTTGTGAGCTCAATGCTCTAAGTACATTTTTTTTCAATAACGTGATTTACGGAAACACTGAACATCCGATTGAAAAGTATTGAAACGTTTCCTTTGTATGTACTTTGTATGATTGATGTGTGTGAGTAGACCATTTGTGTATTTATTTCACATTACAATACTTCGGAAACAAACTATAATTATCCTATGTATCGATATATCTCAGTGAGTGATTATGATTATGAAAAAAGTAAAAATTTTTGGTTTATTCTCAAAATATACTGAACGTAATTTTTTGCTTAAAGATTTCAGGGATTCATTAAAGTGCTAAATTATTTTTTTGTTTCTGGTTTCAAGTCGGAAATAATAATCAGTTTGATTTTACATGTTTTATGCGGAACTCCGAAGGAAATGTCATCAATTGCGGCTGAGTTTCAGGTATTGTTGTTTTATTATTTATTTAGCTGCAGCTGATATCTTGCTACTTTTAAAAAGCAACAAAAAAAAGAAAGGAAAACAAGATGTGTTTGTGAAACACTATGCGCCCGGCGGCAACAAAGTTAAAAACATATTTTTAGCATATAGGTCACAGTCAAGGTCACAAGGTCATTGTCATTTGAAAGAACTTGTTAAGTGAAGTATGCATACCAAATATGAAGTCTTTATCTCTCATGGTTCATAAGTTATGGTGAAGGTTCAAAAAAACTATTTTTAGCATATAGGACACAGTCAAGGTCACAAGGCCATTGACCTTGGTACCATGTGAAAGGGCTTAATTAATTAGTGGAGTACGTATGCATTCCAAATATTAAGTCTCTATCTTTCTTCGTTCAAAAGTTATGGCGAAGGTTAAAGTTTACCAAAAAAAGGTTATATTTAGCGTATAGGTCAAGGTCACAAGGTCATTGACCATGGTGTCCTTTAAAAGAGCTATATCAGTGGTGTATGCATACCAAATATGAAGTCTCTATCTTTTATGGTTCGAAAGTTATGGCGAAGGTTAAAGTTTGCAGAAAAAACTATTTTTAGCATAAAGGTCACAGTCAAGGTCAGAAGGTCATTGACCTTGGAGTCATTTGAAAGAGTTTTATTAGTGGAGTATGCCAACCAAATATGAAGTCTCTTTCATTCATGATTAAAAAGTTATGACGAAGGTTAATGTTTGTAGACAAACAGATAAACAGACAGGACAAAAACGCCTCGGATCTTTCGATGCGGGCGCTTAAAAATCTCTTTTTGGCCTTCTACAAAAGAAATTTCTGTTACTATATATTATGTCATGATATTAAATACTTTTTAAAAACTAAAGGGGGACTTTTTAAAAAATGTAATATTAATTTGAAAATCGATAACTGTTATTCTGTTATTGACCTAGTCGGTCACCACTTTTATACTGTTGAACCACGGATCTTGTGCGAGAAAGTACGCAACGCAATCGACTATTATACGAACGATTTAGCAAATTTTTGTTTGAAAGTGAAACCGGAAGTTTTCAAAAAAGTCATGTGAAAATTACCAAGATGTGAAGAGAGACTTTGTCTTTGACTGAATATTTCTAAAATTAACATAATGAGCACTGGGGATTATCAGTCTACCGACAATCGGTATAGGGATGCCGCTGACGTACCGCTATTTGGTGATCACCAGCAACCTAGAGTCAGTGCATCTATTTATAGCCTATAGTACTAGTATTGCTTCATTCTTGATTTTAACTTAATGTCAAGTTTTATGCATCATGTGGATGATGATTAAAGAAAAAATAAAGTTTTCCCTAAAAATCAATTAATTTGAATTAGATTTTTTTAATTGTTCACAGTATCCAACAAGGTCTATTGACTACCAGTAAATATAGAGAATCACCACCTGAACTCAAATGAAACTTGAATAAAATTATGTTTACTCAAATAATAATAAATTGGCTTGTTCGTGCTCTTTTCAAATCAACTTCTGATTAGAAGCTGCCACTCATGATATAAGTTTTGAAGCCTGGTTTTTATCTTGTTTATTTTTAGGATCGGATGATTAACTTGGTTGTGGGAGTATTTACAAGTATTGTTGTAGCAGTAAGTATAAGTCGGTGTAAAACATGGCTCAGTTACACAATAAACATGTATTATTGGTATGTATATCATGAACACTGATTTCTGAAATCTTGCCTGTGTAATGTGATGTGAACTTGAAGTAAATTCAGTTGTTTAATTAAAATACTAGAGAAGTAATTCCTAATCCAGACTGTTGTTGTTTAATCCTGCAAAAAAGTTTTTATGTACATAATATTCAAACTGACTGAGATCATTGATCCCAAACGTATCTTTTATAATGATTAATCAAAGTTAAGTTGAATGAATATAATCATTGTATCTTAATTAAAATCATAATTGTGGCAAAAGATGTAAATCAAAGGTGTTAGTTCAACTTAGTTGCCAGTCTATTGTTCACTGGTCTGAAACAAATTGTTGCCCTGTTCACACGGAGAGTTTAATTCGAATTAAACATAAAGTTACTGCGAATAACCTTTGCGTAGCATTCATATGGAGAATTTAATGTGGATTAGTTTAATTCGAACTAGTTTACTGCGCATTAAATTACTTCGCATTAGCTCTGTGTCAACAGAACGCTAAGCGAAGTTATTTCGAATTAAATTCTGACACATGCGTAATGGCAAAATTTATTCAAATACCACTTATCGATGGTCAGCTATGGGTACTTGTGCTATTTTTGAATGAAAAACTAAGGAAAATTTTGTTAATCAATAAAATGTGTATACAGACACTTTGCCATAATGTCAAATGGATCTGCTTCTGCAGAAGGTGACACGATTTGCAAATGACGTCATAACAGCAGTGCTGACATCGGGCTGCAGAAGAAAAATGTTAATTTGCATTAGTTTACTTCGCATTAGCTGTCATGTGAACGCAATTTAATTCGCATTTGTTTGATTCGCATTAGTTTACTTTGCATTAATTTACTGCGAATTAAACTCTCTGTGTGAACAGGGCATGTAATGGACAACCAGAGAGCTACAAATGCCTTCTATTTTTTAAAAAGCCTAACACATTAAAACATTTCATATAACCAATGCTTTCATCAGCATACCTTCTTGGACAAAAATTGAAATCAGAGAATTTATTTGAAATCAAGATTTTATGTATTTAATTTTTTTTTTCCAATGATGCATGTAATGTTTTTTACACAGGTCACCCTCATCAGTGCATTCATTTTCCCAAGTTTCCCTCCAAATGGAATCAATGTCTTCTTTGCCATCATCATTGTAATGATATGTGGATCTCATTTACTTCTGGTAAGGAGAAAGATTGGAATAAAGTAGGAAAGTTCCCAGCTTCTTGAATTGTACAGCTGCTTGCCTATGTTTCTTACTTTTTAGTTCCCCTTCCTGTAGTTAAAATCTTTCAGATTCAAATCTGGAATCTTCCTGGTGCATTTTTAAGCTTTGTTTAATATACATGTGTTGGAATATCTTGCAGATTTTCTGGTACAGACAAGGTGACTTGGAACCAAAGTTTCGTCGAATGATTATCTACAATGCCTTTACCATAATCCTACTGTGTGTGTGTGGAAATCTGTATTTTCATAACATTCTGAGGAAACACAGCTCATGATGTTTGATTTGTTTGTTTGTTTTGTTAAATACAGTCAGAGAAGTTAAAATACATGTAAATGTTGTTCTAATGCTAAGTGTACATCTAGTATCTTTAAACAAAGATATGTCCTTAAGAAAAGAAAAGGGTTTTCATGTGTGCCATACTAAGTATAATTTGTGATATTTTAGGTGAAGGCAGGTGATGTGTAGATCATTTCATTGTCATTCTTTAGCATGTGTAGATGTATTTTTTCTTTCATTTTTCATGGTTACTGAAGTATCAGAAGTTGTTTGGGATTTTTTGTTTTTTTTCGGGGGGGGGGGGGGGGTCTTTCCATTGATCTTTAACCTTAAGATGTTAAAAATAACAAAACTGAAATGATCTTGTGTTGTACATTGTAAAGGGTTTCTTTAGGTGGCATATAATTTGGCATTTTGTTTGTTAAAAGGTACATGTATGTCATTAATTTAAGAAAAATTTTTTTGGGGAGATCCAGTGTTTCTTCTACTGTGCAAAAATTCAAGTAAAACAAAAGCAAGATTAAATTGATCAAAGTTGTCTTTCTTGGGTTCAGTACTTATTAGCAAGGTTAAAGATTTAAGAAGCAAACCACTAAAATAACCTAAAAGGTAGCACCTTGCTGAAAAAAATCCTTCTATACAGTATCATTTGAAACATTTAGTTGCTGTTTGATATTTAACAATTATAAATACATCTAGTTAAACATTAATTTCGGCATTTGAGATAATTAAGTGCTGTGCATGATTTGGATACAAGACAATGCATTGTTGTCCGTAGCTGTTAAACATTTTATGTACAGTGTACATTAATAACCATTGGGATGATTATGATACAAGTTATACTGGGCTCAGCATTACATAAGTTTCTAAGTCAAACTGCCTATCCCGACCAACGTATGTAGGCAAATACATTATAAATAGTGTTACATGTCTATTTGTAACAAGAATGTAACATTCTCATTTTCAATATTTCAAATACAGCATAGTATCCAATTCAAACTCTACATGTGTATTTTGGTAGAAGTAATTTTTATTTTTTAGATTAAAATAGTATTTGTTGATCACTTTTCAGTTGTAAATTAGCTATCAGTCACTCTGAGAAATTCTATTTAATATCCTGCATTGACTTTTTTTTCATGTATTTTGAAAATTCTAGAAAGGAGATAGCTATTGTTTATTTAAAAAATACTTATTCACATTTATTTTAATGTGTACTGAAACGTGTGAATTGTCTGTAAGAAGAAACTTGAAAATAATAAGTACTTGGTATTCTTCTGAAGAGCAAGGAAAAAAGATTCATTTTTCAACATAATTATGTATGTATCTGCATGAAGTTTATCCTATATTTTCATTATTATTTATATTCTTTTGCATGCTTGTGCTAAAGTATATGATTGTTCTTTTGTGTCCAGTATGAAGGATTTGCAATCTCTGATGGTTATCTATAAGGGGAATGTTTCCTCTTCAGTCCACTCTATCAATGTATGTTTTCAAGATTGTCAAAGATATAAAGCTGATATCGTACATGGTGGATTATTTATCTTTAAATTTACTTCATAAGCATGTCATTTCCATAAAATTTTTGATATGTTCATATTTTGTCTGTTCAATTTATCGTATTTTGTTTATTGAAAGTTAGTGATATAAATACTACAGTAAAACACTGCTTGTTAAACATTCAGGTATCACGTCATCAAATATACATTTTGTCTTTTTTTCCTATGTGAGCAGGTGACTCTAATTATTTACCATTGCATGGTTTGGGTACAAGGAGTTTTTTCCAGCTTTTTTTAAGATGACCAGAAGATCATAGGTATGGGGGAATATGTCATCCCATGCCCAATCTGTTTCACATGTAAATAATTTTATGAAAAATGTCTCTACATACAATTTTTGAACTAACTAGAATTGGAAATCCAGTTTCTCTGCAATTAAGCATTAGCAGACTTGTAGCATCTAATTTTAATTAGCTTGGTATAATTTTAGTGTACAAATATAAATTACATGTACAAAAAGGATAACATTTTTAGCTTTGTCAATTTCAATTTTCAAAAATCTATTTTGACATATTTTTTTTTACAAAATGTAGAATAATACAATTGTTTTGAAAGGCTATTTCTTGATTCCTTTGAAGCTTTGTCTTCTTGGACACTGTCCTCATCATTAATTTACTTTTGACAAAGAATGTGCACAACAAAATTTTGTACGATGTGTTTAATATGATTGTATTCATTTTTTACAAATGTTACTCTTCAGAATGTATACATTGTGCATGCAGCGGTTGTCTCATTTTCACTGAAACTCATCAATGTTTGATTATTACAAGGAATAAATACATGTATGTTATTTGAATTTTAATTTCAATAATTTTTGTGCTTTAACTACCAAAGGGCCGTTTCTTTAAAATTATTTGGGTTTTTTTTCCACCATCGGATTTAAATATACAGTGTGGTACATACACATAATACAAGATACCTTTCTTTTTCAATGAACTGCATTGCATCTTGCCGCTGTAAAAATAATTATTATTATAAGACAAATTCCAAAATTTTATAAAATAGTGTTTCCTTGTCTTATGTAAATAAAACTGCTTACTTTTCAAAACAAAGGCAAACAAAAAAGTGCAAGTGTCTTTCAAGTTGTGTTAGAGGTAGAGCTACAGTCTTGTAAAAGATTTCTAGACGTGTACATAAAAGTATTTTTGATTGATTGATAATATGATGATGATTTGAATGCTATATTGTGTATAGGTCTTTGTCTAGATAAACTTGAAATGAATAACACTAATTTTCATGTCACTGAAGTATATTTCGGGAGGGGGAGGATTACTCTCTTTGACGCATCCTACCAACGTACTACACTGTACACAATGGTCTATGTTTTCTACATGGGGACCAATGCCCCGTCCCCTCCATACTAACGCGTGTGTTGCATTGACATCTTGTTATTGTGATGTCGATAGAAATTGATAGCAAAATTCCTTATTAATTGATGGTGTACTTTCTCCGGATCACTCGTATGAAGTGTGATATAGTATGTATGTTATTCATGAGTGGAAACGGAAACAATTCACATTTGAATTTGTAAACGTGCATTCCCGAGAAAGAGTAGGAAGACCTCTGATCTTTGTATATAATCACTAGTATAGATCAGAAACTCCTGTTTCTTTTAGACTTTCTCTTCATTATTTCAGGCATACAATATATACATGTGATATTAATAACGCAAACATCTATGTCAAAATCGATATTTAATATCGGGTGAAACACAATATAGGGCGCATTAAGAATACCACATTGTTATACACGATTTTTAGAAATGTTAACTTCTTTACATGTAATTTATCATAATTCATTTATAGGCATACTTATAAAGGACTTGTGTGCAAAATTTTGTTGATCTAACTTTAACAGAATTTAAGTAAATGCAATAAATGTACCCCAAAAATGACCCTTTTTTAGCGTTATGCGGTTGCGCTTTGCAATTACACCATTTTTCAATTGAAATTATTGATATATATCATAAATTTTCATGCCAATGATCATTATCAGACTTTAGAATTTATTTTAAAAATTATTTTGGTGCTTGAATTTTCAGGATTGAATGACAACTTTTGAAGATATGAAAGAAAATGTAATAGGGGTGCAATGTTATACATTTTTGACATAATTTCATCCCTCTCATTATGCCAAATAAAAATAATGTCCATATCATTTATTTCCTCAGATTTCTATCTAAAATCACAGTATTAATGCTCTGTTACTTACAGAAAAAAGTTGGGTTAATGTAACAATTGAAATGAAATTTCATTATGTTTTAATGTGGAAAATTAAGGTTTTACAAAAAGCTGTAGTGTCCGTAACCACTTTCATTCTGTGAAATTGGAAAGCTCTATAAATATCATTACTAATTTCCTAGATAGGCATCTCATATAAATGCTGAGATGTTTTGTAATTTTCCTGATCATCAGCACTGTTTGTCTATTTTCATTACAAATGTGGTTACGGACACTACAAAACCCTGTAGTGTCCGTAACCTAAATTTGAGGCAGTTTGAAACAGGCAGTGTTAAAACATTAATGCAAATTTGTTCACAAGGGTCAAAAGTTTGTTTAACAAGTTAGTCAATGTACTTTATTTTTCTCCCTCATTTTGATATTGCAACTAATTTGGGAAACCCAGATTGCACCATTTTCATATACAAGATCCTTGGTGTTACATCACCTTGATATTGGCAGATGCTATTGACATCCTAGGATTTAAGTCAAATAGCATGTCATTATTTTTTCATTGTTTAAGTCAACTGGTGTTACATTTAAGAAAATCTTGTTGAAATCCCTTTATTTAAGGTATAGTTTTATCCTATTGTAAATAACTTGTAGAGTGTGTAGTGTCCGTAACCAAAAGTTGAAAAATGAAATATCTTTATTTTTTCTCCATAGAATTTACAGATAAATTTTTGAAACAGTGTATTATTGAATTTAGAGATAAAAAGGTGTTTATTAGTTGGAATTCTTTTAGATCATGTGGTCTTTTTCTTCACTGCAAGTACTAAAATAATGATTGGACACCCACAATGACATATAAAAATAGTTAGAAATTACTATCACTAGCTACATAACCCATATTTTTGTGAATATTGCTTCAATTGTTTAGTTGCTTATTAGGTGAAATCTTAAAATGTGTTAAATGCAAGTAAATTTGCATTCAAAATTTTAAACAGTTGGGAAGTAATTTGGTTACGGACACTACAAACAATTTCAAAAAAGAAAACAACTAAAATTACACCAATTTCATATAAAGTATTGTATATTTAACTGTTTGAAGAAAAATAGAATGCTTCACAGAAAAGAAAAAATAATTGAAGAAATATTAGTGAGCTTTATTCTTCAAGGTTTGACTTTTCTACTTACACATAACACCTGTCTAAAGTTACATGTGTATATATTTATTCAAAGTATATTGGTTATGTTATGCTTGTAACAGATGAAGTTGAGATCTGAAGAATAAAAAAAATCAGGAGAAACTGAAACGAGAAATGAAATGCTGAAAAAAGATAGGAAAAGGGCTTAAAAACAAAAACTTCATCCACAAACCTGTGAAAAATTAAAGTATTGTGTAGTGTTCGTAACCCTTAAATTTGGTCAATTGACTTCATTGATCATTGTACCTACATTCTAAATAGTTTTCATAAAACTTTAATGAATAATAAAACTTTTCTTTTGCACTTCAGTAATAAATACATGTAGTTACGTGAAAGAAGGAAGTTTCAGGATTTCCTAAAGTGGATTTTTTT